CGTGCGCCCTCAGGTGCTTCTGGAAGTGGAGGGTGGAATTAAAACTCTTCCCGCACTCCCCGCAGACGTGGGGCCGACCCCCGGCGTGCGTCCGCTGGTGCCGGTAGAGGTGGGAAGTCCTCCCGAAGCTCTTCCCGCATTCCGGGCACTCGTAGGGTTTCTCCCCGGTGTGAATCCGCTGGTGCCGCTCCCAGTGGGAGCTCCAGGAAAAACTCTTCCCGCAATCCCCGCACCGATACGGCTTCTCCTCGCCGGTTCCGCCGTGGGAGCTCCGCCGGTGCCGGGCGTACTGGGACCGCGCCCCGAAGCCTTTCCCGCATTCCTCGCAGCGGAAAGGGCCTTCCCCGAGGTGAATCCCTTGGTGTTTCACCAAAGCCGGAGCGTCGCCGAAGCTTTTCCGGCACAGGGAACATTTGTAGGGTCTCACCCCGGTGTGAGTCCCTTGGTGCCGCTCGAAATGCAGGATGCTGCCGAAACTCCTCCCGCAGTAGGTGCAGATGTAGGAGCGACCGCCGGCGTGGCCGCGTTGGTGCCGGTAGAGGTGGGAACTCCTGGAAAAGCTCTTCCCGCATTCCGGGCACTCGTAGGGTTTCTCTCCGGTGTGAATCCGCCGGTGCCGGAGCCAGTGGGAACTCCAGGAGAAGCTTTTCCCGCAATCGCCGCATCGGAAAGGCAAATCGCCGGTGTGGAGCCGCCGGTGAGTGGCCAACTCTTTATTCCGCCGGAAACTCTTCCCGCACTCCTGACACCGATAAGGAAAACCGCGGGGTTTCTCCGCGGCCGGATCGGCGCCGCCGTGGCCGCGTTGATGCCGGTAAAGGTTGGAGGAGACGTTGAAGCTCTTCCCGCAGTGGGAACAGCGGAACGGTTTCTCCCCCGTGTGCGTCCGGCGGTGCTTGGAGAAATGCGAGCTGCAGCTGAAGCTCTTCCCGCACTCCGAGCACTCGTAGCTCTTCTGGAGGACGATGATGCTCTTGAAGTTGGAAAAACTCGGGGATTTCGGGCTCCTCTTCCCGCTTTTCCCCGACGTCCCGGGGTCGATTTGTTGCACCACGGTCCAACGTAAAGTTTCCCGCTCCGAGGGGTCGGGGTTGGGGAAGAGGCTGCCGGGATCTAATTCCACGATTTCGGGGTCGTCCGGGTGGGGAAGGTTGGAGTCTGGGGTTCCTGGGATTTGGGGATGGGGGAAAAAAAAAACCGGGAATTCCGTGGGGTTTTCCCCAGGATTTTTGTGGAATTTTCCAATTTTTTTTTGGTGGAATTTTCCTTTTTTTTGGTGGATTTTTCCTCTTTTTTTTGGTGGAATTTTCCAAATTTTTTTGGTGGAATTTTTCCTTTTTTTTTGTGGAATTTTCTACTTTTTTGGGGATTTTTCCATTTTTGGGGGGAATTTTCCACTTTTTTTTTGTGGAATTTTCTACTTTTTTGGGGATTTTTCCTTTTTTTTGGTGGAATTTTCCACTTTTTTTCTGTGGAATTTTCCACCTTTTTTTTTTGTGGAATTGTCTACTTTTTTGGGGATTTTTCCATTTTTGGGGGGGAATTTTCCACTTTTTTTTTTGGTGGAATTTTCCACTTTTTTTGGTGGATTTTTCCTCTTTTTTTTGGTGGAATTTTCCAATTTTTTTTGGTGGAATTTTCAAATTTTTTTTTGTGGAATTTTCCTTTTTTATTGGTGGAATTTTCCACTTTTTTTTGTGGAATTTTCCACACTTTTTTGGTGGAATTTTCCAATTTTTTTTGGTGGAATTTTCCAGGTTTTTTTTGTGGAATTTTCCACC